CCCCCCCCCCCGCCCCGCAAAGAAAATCAGCCTTCAACTGGGGAGCCACCTTGCAAATATGATTGTCCCGTGTAAGACCTTTCAAGAGTTGAAGGATAAAGTACCTTGCTTTTGAGCAATGCAAGGGAAAAGGTATGTTACTGAACATATTTATTTGGACAGTAAAGTATAAACATAGCCTTAGATAATAGCGTCTTCTGGAAAGGCCTCAAAACAGGAGTTGCTTAGGAATTGGTATAAGTAATCCTGTGGTGCTAAGAAGCTGGTTGTCTTAAATGGAGTCAGGTTTGTGTCCTTGCTCTAACCTTTGTCCTCTGTAACACAAGTTATTTCTCTTGCTGAAACTTAGTTTCCTCATCTGCAAATGGGCTTTAGTAATATTTACTTCAGCAGGTGGTTGGGAGGAATAAGTGAAATAATATACTGTATGTGAATATGCTTAGTATACAGTATATTCTCAATAAATGTCAGTTGATTCTGAATTTGGTATTGTTTAGATCCCCTAACCTTTTTGAATGATTAAAATTGGTGTGCATGTCACAGAGAATGTGCAGTGCCTCCAGCTGATAAAATCATTTATCATTCATGGTGGATAGGAGAGAGCTATGTAATAGAGTTTGTTCAAAGTACAGTTGATGGTCAAGGCTCTAACATACCTTAAAAGCATCAAATGTTCAGATTTTTACAAAGGGAGGAGGATATGTTTCTGTGCACTTTAGATAGGGAAGCCTAACTCCAAGCCTAGGTGGTTTTCTCTATTGAATCATTAACAGGACTGTTTTTGAGCACTTCAAGAAGCGGTGCCTCCTGGCATACTGCAGGGATTCTTTAACCACTGGAGGCATAAATAATTACCGCTTCAAATAGAGTTACAACCCTGGTAAACTAGAAAAACTCAACAGATACTATGATGGAATTGCAGCAGGAAATTTGACAAAGTCTCAAGATGTTTCTCTGAACGAGATAAAGAATTCTGTTCAAAGATTGCTGATTAATGGGAAGAGGACGCCTCCTGTGCTTGGCCCGGTTCTCTTTTCCAGTGACTGAGGTGGAGATACTGATTACATGCTGATCATATTTTTAAATGCTGGAAGCTAAAAAACAAGATAGTAAATCTGTGGGGTGTCCGCCAGAAAATCTTGACAGGCAAGAATATAAGATGAAATTCCATTGCAAATGTATCAAGCCCTTATACTAACTGTACAGATTAGAATCCAACTAACTGTACAGGTTCAGGTGGTAGCTTAGCAGGATCAAGTGTGAAAAAGAATGAAGGGTTTTAGGGAGTTGCTGTCATGTAACGTTCCAAAAATTTATGAAGCCAGTGCGAATTGGCTTTCATTGAAATTTGTTAGCTTAGGCTCTAGCGGCTGAGACCCTGCTGTGCTCTGACCAAGCTGATCTTAACCTCATTTTAATGGTATGTCCAACAAACTGGAGCATGTGTATAGAGGAGAGCAGAGAGGAGGTAGTGAGGTAAGCCTGCTGGATCACTATATTCTTAACTGATGGTATTACATAAGTAATGTTGGATGAACTGTGGCTTCTTCAAACTCAGAAATTCTGAGATCGGTGTATGAATAAACATGAACAATCTGTAATGATTCCTTTTAATCATTTTGCCATTTTGTTGATATTAACGCAAGTTCAGGCAATACATCTTTTCTCTGAAACAATTAAGTTTATACTTTAGGAAATAATTATTTTTCAGCTGTTCTTCTATGGTATTGCATACTATTTTATCTACAGGTTAATCTGTTATTTTCTGTCTTTGTTACTGCAAGTAAAACAGTTTAAATATGGAAAGACATCCGAAGATTGTGAAGACTGTTTCCTGATGAATAATATAACAGATACCAAACATCTTATCTTTCACAGGTGGTAAACCTATTGATGGCAATTTTGCTGACTGTGGAAGTAACTCATCCAAACTCAATGCCAGCTGTCAACATTCAGTATGAAGTCATTGGCAATTACTATTCATCCGAGAGAATGGCTGGTATGTTTTTAGGTGAAAATATATCCTTTAATCACACACACTATTCAGAGAATTGATTAAATTATTGTTAAGTTATTTTACTTGCTGAGGCATAAAAGTGTTTTTGTGGGTTTTTCAAATTATTCAGTGAGAATTATAATTGAGCACTTTTGCCCAGAAAATGCTATGGACTACTAGATTTTTGAGAAATATACATTGTATACCTTTGATTCCTATCTGGTGCTGTGGAGATGATAAGAAGAAATTACAAAAAGACTTGTGAGACTCTGAAGGTCAGCTAGCAAGTGTAGTAGAGGATGGGAGCAAATAGGCTTACAGGAACATGTGAAATATGAATTATTGGAATAGTTGGTGATATCTTTTGCTCAGGGTCACAATTCTAAATATATATCTATCATTTAGATGAAGAAAGACACTGTTGGAGTTAGAAATAGAAGACATTCATGTAAATTACCTTTTTAAACCTGTTTACTCTCCAGTAACATTTTCATTATTTATCTTTCTCTAAAACACAGGAGCAGGGGTGCCTGGGTGGCTTAGTTGGTTAAGTGTCAGACTTCGGCTCTGGTCATGATCTTCTAGTTTGTGGGTTCGAGCCCCGTATGGGGCTCTGTACTGACAGCTCAGAGTCTGGAGCCTGCTTCGGATTCTGTGTCTCCCTCTCTCTCTCTCTCTCTCTCTCTCTCTCTCTCTCTCTCTCTCTCTCTCTCTCTCTCTCTCTCTCTCTCTCTCTCTCTCTCTCTGCCCTTCCCTGCTCTCACTCTGTCTCTCTCTCCTCTCAAAAATAAATAAACATTAATGGGGCACTTGGGTGTCTCAGTTGGTTAAGCGGCTGACTTGGGCTCAGGTCATGATCTCATGGTTCATGAGTTTGAGCCCCGCGTTGGGTTCTGTGCTGACAGCTCAGAACCTTGAGCCTGCTTCAGATTCTGTGTCTCCCTCTCTCTCTGCTCCTCTCGTGCTCTGTCTCTCAAAACTGAATAAACGTTAAAAAAATTTTTTTAATAAATAAGCATTAAAATTTAAAATACAGTTTCAGAAATATTTTAGTTAAGATTGTATATTATGAATAGAAATTTAATGTTCGAACAGAAAATTATGCCTCAAACTTTGCAGTATGAACAGCTTTTTTGCGTGTTGATTTTTTTAAATTTCACTTCAGAAAAATGTTCTGAGTTCTCATGTGTAAGTTGTATTTATAATATTATAGGATTTAAGTTACCATATTTTTAGTTTTATTAGCTTTTATTGTAAGTTCTTGAGCTTCATTAAATTTATGGTCTTCCCATAAGCTTATGAAGTTGTTTTTTAAAAAAATTTGGTTGTGGGGGCACCTAGTTGGCCCAGTTGTTAGAGCACGTGACTCTTGATCTCAGGGTTGTCGTTCAAGCTCCGTGTTGGGTGTGGAGCCTACTTAAAAATAAATAAAAATTGGTTGTTAATTTAAATAATTCACTGTCTACAGGGCCAGCTGCCTTTTCTAGGATTCAAGTAGAGTTCTGTGGGCATCTGTTGACATTACAGTATGAAATCACTAACAGTTTTTTACACTGTGCTTTAAAAAATTTTTTTTAAGTTTATTTATTTTGAGAGAGAGACAGTGTGAGTGTAGTGGGGGGCCAGAAAGAGCAGGGGAGAGAGAGTCCTAAGCAGGATCCACACTGCCAGCACAGAGCCTGACACGGGGCTCAAACTCATGAAACTGCAAGATCATGACCTGAGCCAAGACAAAAAGTTGGATGCTTAACCGACTGAGCTACCCAGGCTCCCCTTTAAGTGCTTTGTAAAAATGTGTCTACTAAAAAAAATAAATAAAAATGTGTCTACTGAGTGTCCATTCAGATCTTTATAATCCTTTAATTATGTTGTCAAGTGTGGTAAAAGAAATACCAAGAGCATATTAGAAACCTCCCTTCTGGAGTTTGTTTTTTCTTAAGTAGTCTGTTTCTCTATTTAAAATAAAAACCAAAATACAACGATGAATAAAACTTTAGTTTTTAATGCCTGTTTTTGGTATTTTAGGCTGTAAAATTATATAAAACCTGCTAATGTTGGCATTTTTCAGCATGCAGTGTCAGCTTGTGTTTCTCTTTAAATCAAGGTGTAGAAAAAGATTTATGGCTGTTGACATTCTTATGCTGTGGCTGGAGCTGCAGGGATGAAGCCACAGGTTTTACTGCATGCTGCATGGCTGCCGTGGCCACCGTAGTGGGAATCAGATACGGAGTTAGCATACTTTTGTTGATTCTAGTTCTGCCAAAACCTTTTTTGAGAGAACATAAAAATGTGTAGTTCTTGGTCATACAGTAGTTTGTGTCTCTAACGGAAGTGGAACGTTGACCCTCCCACAGGCGCAGTGTTAAAATGTCAAGTTAATTTCTGATCATTGGCCTGCGGCTGATTGTAAATAATGAGGTTTGCAGTTAGTCAGCTAAACAGAATATGACCCTCAATATATATGAAATGCTTCTGCAACATATACAAGCTGCTTTTCAAATGTGAATTTAACCTTAATTTTATTCACTTTGGTAACGGGTGAACACTTGGGGCCCCCTGGAGGAGGTTTTTGAATGTGGTGGTGGATGGAAACCTGAGGTTCATATCTGTGCGTTTAGCCCTCATATTTTGTTTGCTTTATTGAGTCACAAATATTGGAGTGTCTCGCTCTAGGTATTGTGTATGTATTTTTCACCTGTTATTCCATTTCTCCCCTTTTTTGCTACAGGGTATCTAAAGGATATCCTATATCCTCTAGAAAAATCTAAAGACGGCCCTTAACTTAGCACCAAATACTGATGATGTTTATACTTCCAAGTGACAAGATGATACATGATATCATGTGTGATATCCAGCAGTTATTCTAATCATCCATCATCATTAGTGCCTTTCTGGTTCTTAATATCTATCCAGAGTCAAAGAATTAACTTTAGATCTGCTAAAAAAAAAACCTCTCAAGTGTGGCTTAGTAGTGTTGAAATTACTCAGGTGTTTTGTGAGGTAATTAATGAATTTGGATAACCTTGAGGAAGGAGACAGGTGAAGAACAAAGAAGAAAATGGGCTTGTTAAAGCAGTGGAGAAATCAAGGGCAAGGAGTGGGGAGCAGGGAGTTCCCATGTTGGCGTAAGAGAGAGGAGGTTAATGGAGAACCTTGAATCTGTATATTTTCTCTTGAGGCCAGAGAGGGCAGCTGTAGTGCTCTGAGTTTATGTGTCTTTTAAGCAGATACCAGCCTTTCCCTCCTGTTGAGCCCTGCTCATTTCACAAGACCCAACATGTGTCATTTCTTCCATATTTTTTCCCTGATTCCCCAAGGACAGCTAATCCAATGTAGCACTTGCCACATTGGATTATCATTATCTGCATGCCTTCAGACTCTTAGGCTCTGGGCAGAGACCTGTCTCCCTAGCAGAGTGACTGGTTGATGATAAGAGTCAATGAGTTGTAGCAATTTAATAAACAAAAACAAAGGGGTGAATTCCTCAAAACTTCATTACTTAATGCTGAGATGGATTTTTTTTTTTTTTTTTAACTCTCTTGGCTTTAGGTTTTTTTCGGAGGCATTCTGGAAAATACTCATTTTTTTTAAGCTAGCTTTAACACGTAATTTTGTTGGGGTGCCTGAGTGGTTCAGTTGGTTGAGCCTCTGACTCTTGACTTTGGCTCAGGTCATGATCTCATGGTTTCGTGAGTTCCAGCCCCACATCAGACTCTGTGCTGATAGTGAGAAGCCTGCTTGGGAATCTGTCTCCCCCTCTCTCTCTGCCCCTCTCCCCCTTGCTCTCTGTCTCTTCTCTCTCTCAAAATAAATAAAAATAAACTTTAAAAGAAACCCCCAAAAAACAAAAAACATTTTGTCATGAAGAGTTTTGGGGTTTTTTTGGTGCATAAGTAGCTTAATTAGATTTTTTTTTTGTTTTCTTAGATAATGCCTGTGTTCTTTTTGCTGTCTCTGTTCTTATGTTTATCATCAGTTCAATGCTGGTATATGGAGCAATTTCTGTAAGTACCCTATATTTTTGACTTTGTGTTTGACCTTTACTGAGTGGCACTTAATATTTCATATTTGTGTTGTGATGTTGTGATTATTTTTTTTCTTCAGTATCAAGTGGGTTGGCTGATTCCATTCTTCTGCTACCGGCTTTTTGACTTCGTTCTCAGTTGTCTGGTTGCTATCAGTTCTCTCACTTACTTGCCAAGAATCAAAGAGTATCTGGATCAATTAGTAAGTGTGTATACTAATTAAACTTTTTCTCTTCATTTTAAGTACAGTATGTAAATCAAAATTTTGAGTCAGCTTTCGGTGCTATTTTTATTTTAATCTACCCTGTTTATTTTTAAAAGTGTTTCAAAATAATTATTGCTCCTCTTAACTACCTTGTTAAAGCCAGTAATATACATAGGATATTTTCTTACCGTGCTACTTGGATATTCTAGTATTAAAAGTCTCTAAATATGGGGCACCTGGGTGGCTCATTCAGTTGAGCTTCTGACTCTTGATTTTGGCTCAGGTTGTGGTCTCATGGTTCATGAGATCAAGCCTTACATTGGGCTCTGTGCTGATAGTGGGGCCTGCTTGGGATTGTCTCTCTGCTCCTTCACCCCTCCCCCAAAATAAATAAATATTTTTTTGAAAAGCCTCTAAAGGTGGATATCATAGAACTTAAGGAGTAGTTCAACTTTTGTTTTGAGTATACCGGTACTATAATCACTTGGTTATACAGGCTTCCCCTTCTATCCAAAAGCGCATTCCTTTAAAATCTTCTGTAAGCTGAAATGTTGTAAATGTTTGTTCCCAGACCCCAAAAGTAATCTTAGTCTTTTCTGACACCCAAGGGCACGTCTTGCTAACAGATGCCCAAAATAAATAGAGGTAAAGCACAAAGGCTCACACACCCAGTTCAGAGCTGTTCAGGCTGGATGCTGAGCTGCTGAATGTAGTTCCCAGGGGAGGAGCTTGGTAAGGCCCCTCCAGCTGCTTGGGGTGTGCTCGGCCTCTACAACAGCTTGCTGCAATGCAAACACTGGATGCCATTTCTGCTTCTCCCCTTTTTAATTTGCCGGCATCAATAGCAAATATTTGAGTGCTTACTGTATCCTTCCCTCCATTCAAGGCAAATTATTGGTGAATGGTGTAGATACAAACATAAACATAACTTCCTCTCTCTCTCGAGCAGACATGAATTGGGGGAGTTAAGACATGAAGGTGTTATCTGTGTTAATGAACTATAACTGTTACACAGCATTCAGTGAGGAGCTTAGATTAGTGCCCTGTGATGGAGGGGTAGGGAACCCTCTGGGTTGGAGTAAGGTCTGCAAGGAGGTGTGAAGTCCAGATAAATGGAAGTTCATTTCAAAAATGCTGTCGTTAGGAATTTTCTCCCGACTTGGCAGATATCCTGCCTATTGTATCTTGTGTACCACCACATTTATTCATTCAGAAAACATTTGGTGGTTGCTGCTTCTGTGCAAGGCATTCTGCTAGGTTCTTGGGATACATCAGTAGAACTCATTTGCTAGTAAAGGGATTGGAAAATTAATTGACAATTACTGCAGTAAAACTGTGAAGGAAAAGTATTGGCTGCGTGAGTGGATATCATACCGATGTCAGACCTGGGCTGGGAAGCGAGACTTGAATTGCACTCAAGAGTGTAGTAGGAATTAAGATAGGGAAAATGTAGGAGCAAATGTCCCAGGTCAGAGACCCCTTGAGGCAGGAAGGAACATGGTATAGTCAGAGGACTAAAAGGGGACCATGGTGCCTGCCACATAGAGAAAGGGAGGGAAGCAGCACGTACATGATGAGCTAGAGAGAAGGGGTTGGGGGCAGGGCCTGGTGTCCTGGTTGGCTGTGGTCAGAAACTTCCTCATTCTAGATCTCTTGTCTTGTCATGTCGTGTTTGGCTGAAAGATTGCAAGCTTTCTGAATAAAATCTGTAGCGTTCCCCATGAGCTGGTCTCATTCAATTTTTGTCCTTTTATTTATAATAAAGGTTTAAAGAACAGTTTTGTCCCAAGGAGACAGCTGTGTTTGGAGTTGGTGTGTGGATGCTTTTTTCTTTTTCAGTCCTTTGGGATTTTTACATGCTGCTTATTTTTGAAAATTATTTGGGCCTTTGTATTTACATTTCCGTTAAAAACAGATATGTTTTTAAAAATTAAATGAGTTTTATAGGAAAACTTTAGGGTGAAATTTTTTTAGTATTCCTTTTATAGACCCCAGTGGTTTCTCCACTCTGTCATTATATTCACTTGGTCTCTCAGAGTGGCAATACTTTCTTTTTTGGCCAGCTTATAAATCATAAATTATTCCTTTGTAGTACCCTTCTCCTGGAACCTAGCTTAATGAGTAAATAAAGTTGAACCCTTCACAATGGAACATAGTAAGTCTGCAGTAAGCCACAGAATCTTACCTGCCTTTATAACCAGGGGCATGCCTTCTTTTTGCCCCTTTCTGATGAGCATTGAGACTGACAGTTGGCTCTTAGAAAAATTAATTTCCCCACGTAGGACTAAATGGCCCCTGAAACTTAGGTAAGCCTTAGCACTTCATAACTTAGCAACTCAGGGACAAGTCTGCAGTCGCATACAGGAGATCATCTTTTTCCAAAGGCCAGCAAAATGTAAAACAGGGAAGAGGAAAGATGAGCTCAGCTCATACAGCAGAATTCAAATGCATTTGAGGTGTTCAGTAGCATGCATTCATGATGATGAGGCTTAAAGGTACAGTGAGTTCAATTCTGTTTACTAGTTTTTATTAGAATATCAGTTCTGATTTTGGTGCCTTTCTGTTTGTATTTTTAAGATGCTCTCTAGACTGTCACAACATGCAGCTGCCATAGCTGAATTATGCGTGAATGTGTATGTGTTTGGTTAATAAACTTGATGGTTTCGAGCAGTTTTAGGTTAACAGCAAAATCGAATAGAAAGCACGCCCTTTCCTCCCTTACTGTCCACATCCCAGACCGTAGTGGTGCATTTGTTACAATTGATGGACCTACACTGACACATCGTTATCACCGAGAGTTCCTAGTTTACACTGGGTTCACTTACATTCTGCAGATTTGGACAAGTGTGTAATGATGTGTATTCATCACTGCGCTATCCTAGAGGGTAGTGTCCCTGCCCTAAATATCTTCTTTCCTCTGCCTGTTCACCTCTCCACCCCCTTTTTTTATAGCCTGATTTTCCCTACAAAGATGACCTCTTGGCATTGGACTCCAGCTGCCTCCTCTTCATTGTTCTTGTGTTCTTTGTCTTATTCATCATTTTTAAGGTGAGTTGCTGAACTAAATATTTGGGCTGTGACACTGTTCATCTAAACCTTTTTGTTGTCTTTTCTCCTCATAGTTCCAACAGTTAAGTGATAGTGTTTATTCGGACATAGTAGTAAAGATAACACCTAGGTGATGTCCTTCTCATTTCCAGAGAGTGATTGGAAATACCAGGATCCTTCCTAAGTGTAAAGAACATCATTATGTTTTTAGAAGTAGCTCATGATTTAATTGAAAATCTGTTCACATTCCAAAGGTTCAGAGACAGAATTTCCTTGGCAGCACAATGGTTATCAGACCTGAATTGCAACCCCAGTTCTGGTTTCTCTGTAAAATGATATTAATAAAGCTTGGGATATTTGAGTGGGGGCAAGTAGGCAAAGGGCCTGGCTTGTGCTAGGTCCAAATGGGTGTCCATTCCCTTTTCCAGGGAGAAAGTACACGGAAAAGCATTAGAAGTCACCTTAATTTTAGAGCAGGTAGTCTGCTGAGGTTCTGGCATGTGTCAATTTTGTTTGTGTTCTTTTAGGCATATCTAATCAACTGTGTTTGGAACTGCTATAAATACATCAACAACAGGAACATGCCGGAGATTGCTGTGTACCCTGCCTTCGAAGCACCTCCACAGGTGAACGATCTTTTAATACATTAAATCTTCAGTAGTTGTCATTGATCATTCTTAATGAGCCTAGGTCTTGACTGGCTCTTCAATGCCGTGTATGTGGTTTAGGACACAAATAGTTTAAATCCACAAGATGTAACATTTCCCAGTTGGAAACCTGGCTACATGGGTGAGAGACACCCTGCACTGCTCTGCTCATTCAGTTTGACTGTTAGGTTGGACTCGTAGGTAGTCTTGAAAAGGGTTGCATTTTGCAGAGGAGATCAGACAGGAAACAGCCCTGTGAGCCATGCCAGGCTTGTGGCTTCTGGAACCTCTAAGGATGGGGTACTGTCATTTACAGCTTGTGTTGCTTTTAAAAAAACATCCACACGATCAAAAGGGGGAGCTGAATTTTCTGTGGGGAGATGAATGCAGTGGGTTCCAGGAGTCTGTGGGGAGGTCTCCTTCCTGGGACCCTTTAGTTGCTGCTGTATTATCTTTCCAGGTTTTCAACATGTAGAATACATGTGGCCCATGTAGGGCCCGCCTCTCACACTTGAGTCACTTAGGTTGGAATGCCACTCTTACATAGATGTGCCCTTTACCCTAGAAGAAATGATATAAAAGTACCTGGCCCTTGAATTACAGATTCTGATGAAATTCAGGATCCAGGATCTTAATGGAGGCTTCCTTTAGCATGGGTCAGTGGTGCCCTTAACTTGGATTTGCAGCCCCTGAGGCACTGGTTCTGTCAGTCACACTGTAGGGAAGAGGGGAGAACGGTGCTACCTACTTCCTGTCAAGGTGCCCTGGTGGCCTCCGGTCAGTTCAGAAGCAAAACTCCATCTTCCCTTCCTTTGCCCCTCCCTCTTTAGCAGTCTTGGATCACCTCAGTTACGCTCAGGAACTTTTTAGCTAATAGTTTCTTCAGCTAAACTCGGAAAGCATTTGAATTATTCCAGACAGGAATTTTTCAAGGTGATTTAAGTCTGATACAATTTGTTTCTCTCTTCAGTATGTTTTGCCAACCTATGAAATGGCAGTGAAGATGCCTGAGAAAGAGCCACCGCCTCCTTACATACCTGCCTGAAGAAGTTCTGCCTTTGTCAATAAACCCTATACCAGCTTTT